CTACACAAAGAAACAACAAAAACGTATGTATGTAACAAATAGAGGAATGGGGAAAATAATAAGTTTATATGTATGGCACTAGTTACGTGGCCCCATTGAGTCGTAGCGACCCTCGCCGGCGCCCGGGCACAAACTTTCGATTTGCACCCCACTCTCAAACTTTTGATTTGCACCCCCCCCCCTCCTCCTCAAACTTTCAATTTGCACCCCCCTCAAACTTTCAATATGTTTTTCCAACCCATTTTGGCGCCCTTAATGTCGGCGCCCGGGGACATATGTCCCCCCCCGCCCCCCCCCCCCCCCCCCCCTCGCTACGCCTCTGCGTGGCCCCAACTTGGAGGAATTGCCCAGAACCGAGTGCGATGGAGAAGTGTGGTTGCGTTCCAATGCTCCACAAGTGGTCTACATTAATGATGATGATGATGGCTTTAGATTGATTCACTACCAATAATCTACATACAAGTGTACTTGTGGGCGCGCATGGCTTGTGGTGGACTGGCCCGCGGGTCTACCGGAAAAATCCTGGTGGGCCCTCCGGAAAAAATCCCGGTAGGCACGGTAGGTGCTGTGAAAGTCCTATTAGTGCTTTGATTTTTAAAAATATTTGTATTTCACCGCTAAACTATTTCCATTCCTTCATACCCATGCGTAAAATTCAGTATTAAATGGAACAAAACGCACAATAAAAATTTCCCTCTGGGGTCGGGGGGGTCCCTTTTAAACTTTCCCGGGAGTCTAGGACACAGCCAGTCCACCCCTGCACATGTCACACCCCACTCTCACGCCTTCACACCAATTTACACACACACACAGTTATCTACTCCTCGCCTTTAGTGAAGTACTCACTTGAAGCGAAACCAGCCCCCATGGAGGACTCAGCTATACAGGCAGCTAAACTGTTCATTGGACCAATAGCCCCTTCATTCAAATCATCGGAAGCGGCGCCCGACCGATACACATAGTCTTGGACTACGTCAGCGAACCGGATTGTTCCGCTTTGGTCTATAGAGTTCCCCACGTCGTCGTGTTGGGCTGCATGCGTCGCTTGAAGGCTCAGTGCTGGCGCCAGGAGAAGAACCACCGCGCAGGTCATGGCTCTAAAGCACGTCATACCGGTGGTCTGATTTCTCTGGGACCGGGTGCTGAAATAAGAGTATAAGTTCGTGACTGGATTTCCAGATTTTTCAATGTGCACTCAAGATTGGGTCCATGTCGACATATTCAAAATAAACTTAAACTAAACATGCATCGTGGTGGGGAAGTAGAGCGCAGAGGCGTAGCGAGGGGGGGGGGGGGCGGGGGGCGGACCGCACCGGGTGACACCATTCAGGGGGGGGGGACACCAAGGCAAAAAATAGTAAAAAATAAATAGAGAAAAATTTGAGAGGGGGGGGGGGTGCAAATCGAAAATTGAAAGTTTGTCCCCGGGAAGAGTCGCTACGCCTCTGGGGGAGGGGGGGTGACACCATTAAGTGCCGCACCGGGTGACACCCGACCTCGCTACGCCACTGGTAGAGCGCACGACTGCTAGTTGAAAGTCTCGAGCCCGGATCCCAGGCTGTTGTAAGTATGACGTCATTGAGTCCATTCAGCTGTGATGAGTACCTAACCTTTGTTAGAGTTTGTAAAACTGATCTCACTGTCACTGTATATGCAAGGGTCACAGGAACATATTAGCTCTACTTCATCTGTTCCGAGTATTAGTTTAAGTATGGGTTATGTATGTGGTCACTACTTTATATCGTCGTGTAGTGCTTTGGCTCTGCTCAAAATTTGAAATCCTTTTCAGCAAGTTTGTAACTAAGATTGTTTTTTGCACTCATTTGTTTCAGGATCAGCGAATACATAATTTGCATCTAACTTATAATTTACGTTCTATAGCTCTGCGAATTAACATTAGAAGTATGGTTAGAGTTGGAGTAATGATAGCATATTTGGATACCACACTACGGTGTATAACAGTAGCCCAGGGACCTAAAATATCATTTGTGCTATTCGAATATGTCAACGTCAAAAAAGCTGACAGTAAATGATCACTTGCCTTACATTTAGAATCGATAACCTTAGCTAGTATCAATACTAACCTTATTTCTTCTACGTTCTTAATGTTGGAAGGGATTTCTAACACCATAAAGTATTATGTGTCAACTTGGACCATGAGATTGTGTTTGACACGAGTGATGTCAGGATTGAGTTTGTGGTCAGTTTGTGTGGTTATTGACCTTACGCGAAGTATTAATTAGACTAGTTTTAACGTGACCTAAAGATTCCAAACGTCTTTTGTCATTTTCGATAGAATCTAGTCTAGATCTATCTATAACAACATAGGGTATGTCATTTCAATAAGAATCCGACCCTACTGGTACAAAAGTAGCAGAACGAACCAAAAACACTCTTTTCATAAAGTCAGGCAAATGTCACTTGCTAAAATGAAAAGTTCCACTATTAATTAAGCGGCAAAGCATTTTTAAAACCTCGATCTTTTATCTACTAGATCTAGTAGATGTAAATCTAGATTAGATTTTACCTGAAGTGCTTGATTCGTGTTAGATTCTCTACTTCCCAGTTCCTGAGCTTGATTTATTCTCTTCGCCTTTAACCTTCTCAAGTCTAGCTGGAATTGAGTATGTGTAAATACTACCAAAAAACCATGTATTTAGCCTATTATACAACAAAGTCTAAATTTACCAAACGAAAGACCATAAAACGTCGTCTATTTAAAAATAATGTAACTTATAGTCAGCCTTTGCTTCTTTCTAGTTTATTAATGCGGTTTTTTACACAAAAAAAAAAGCACGCATTTATAATCTCAGGAACAAGTGGGAATCTCCATTTGTGGTGCGAAAACATAACCTCTGTTTATACTGCGCAACAGAAGCAGAGGAATTTGTAATAGATTTCTGATTTTGAGGCATAATTTCTATTTAGATATAGATCTAGCTATTCGACAAGGTACTCTGAAATATTTGGGGTATCTATTTTGTAATACAATTTTTATTAACTCTTATTTCATTTGTACTGCTATTATTTTTGTGCTACTTTTATTTTAATATTTTATTTCGTGTTTAAATACTTCTCAGAAGTGTAAAACGATTTCAAAATTTAAAGAAATATTTTAGATGTGACAAGTTTATATAAGTTAACGTCAAAATAAAAATAAAAATAGCTCTGCATTTGAAATGCGACAAGAAAAAAATGTTTATAGTATTTATTCACATTTTATTTAGCTATAAGAATATCGCTAACGGCAAATACATGCATTCTGTAAATAAGCAACGCATGCTTTTAAAAGATTACATCGGCAAGTTTTAAGAACAAATGACTACAAAGTGGGATTTACAGATCACGAGGTTTCTGTACAGCCAATCAATGCTTGTTTTAAAAAAGTGAAACTTCAGGTTATAACTTAGAATTGACGAAAATAAATAACAATGCAGCCTTATCAAACACGAACACACGTACACTATTTTAGTTCTCTACATTTTCAACTTTTTATATTACTTATTCTTGAAATATTACATTTTTGAAACTTTTTCAAGCTTAAGTTTTTTTTTTTAAATTTCTTTTACGGCAGCTATGATTAGAATGAAGTCAGAATAGGCAAAAAATTACGGTTTTTATTTATATCAACCTGTCCATTAGTAAAGACTTGCTTCTTATAGTTCTAATGCACGATTAACAAGGGTACTACTTACAAAACCATTACCAATTAACGTGGGTACTACTTACAAAATCATTACCAATTAACGTGGGTACTACTTACAAAACCATTACCCCCTTCACTCATGTAAACACTGGGTTTAACTGTAGACATATTTGTCAACCAACATATCAAATTAACGCTATACTGGTACATTTACTAATTGTCAAAAGAAAACTAAATACATAATGTCTATTGGATTTTTATAATTTTTATTAAACCATAAAAATTTTAATAAACAATATAAATCATAGATTGGTATAAAAAAAATTTAAAGTGAAGCTTTTAAAATAAATCTAAAGCAAAAAATGAGAATAATGTATGTTGCTGCGACAAATCCAAGACTAAAACACAAACACAGTGTATGTTGCTGCGACAAATCCAAGACTAAACCACAAACATATTGTATGTTGCTGCGACAAATCCAAGACTAAAACACAAACATAGTGTATGTTGCTGCGACAAATCCAAGACTAAAACACAAACATAATGTAATCTGCTGCGACAAATCCAAGACTAAAATACAAACATAGTAAACAATAAAATAAAAAAATAAAAACAACAATATTAATCATAGATTTTTATAAATAAATAATTTAAAATGATACTTTAAAAATAAATCTAAAGCAGAAAATGAGGATAATGTAGCCTATGTTGCTGCGATAAATCCAGGACTAAAACACAAGCATATTATGTTGCTGCGACAAATCCAAGACTAAACCACAAACATATTGTATGTTGCTGCGACAAATCCAAGACTAAAACACAAACATATTATATTATGCTGCGACAAATCCAAGACTAAAACACAAACATATTGTATTATGCTGCGACAAATCCAAGACTAAAACACAAACATATTGTATGTTGCTGCGACAAATCCAAGACTAAAACACAAACATATTGTATGTTGCTGCGACAAATCCAAGACTAAAACACAAGCATATTATATGTTGCTGCGACAAATCCAAGACTAAACCACAAACATATTGTATGTTGCTGCGACAAATCCAAGACTAAAACACAAACATATTATATTATGCTGCGACAAATCCAAGACTAAAACACAAACATATTGTATGTTGCTGCGACAAATCCAAGACTAAAACACAAACATATTGTATGTTGCTGCGACAAATCCAAGACTAAAACACAAACATATTGTATTATGCTGCGACAAATCCAAGACTAAAACACAAACATATTGTATGCTGCTGCGACAAATCCAAGACTGAAACACGAACATGTTCTTGCGACAAATCTTTAAAAAAAAACACAAGCATATTTAATGTTTCTGCTTTTAGATTTCAGTGCTGGTAGTACTGGTAGCACCAGTGAAATCGCTCATGCGCGGTATTGGAACTTCCTTGAGTTCTCTTGCAACTTCTGGAGGGACTTGGCTGAAGGTGGCCGTAGATAATTTGCTCCCATCAGCATCAGCGCCAAAGTTGGATCCACGTTCACCGTGGTCATCAGCAGATCTGATGGGGATAATAGGATAGGGATAGTAGGATAGGGATAATAGGGTTGTGATAGAGAGATTAGTAGGGTTGTGATAGATATATTAGTAGGGTTGTGATAGAGATATTAGTAGGGTTGTGATAGAGATATTAGTAGGGTTGTGATAGATATATTAGGGTAGTAATTAGGTATAATGGGGTAGTTATATAGATAATAATAGTGTAGTGATACAGATAATAAAGTAGGGATATAGATAATTTGGCAGTGATAGGGATAATAGTAGGATAGTGAAAGAGATTATACTAGGGTAGTGATAGGGATAATAGGATAGTGTTAGAGATTTAAGGATAGTGTTAGAGATTTAAGGATAGTGTTATAGAAAATAGGGTAGTTATAGAAATATTAGGGAAGTGATACAGATAATAAAGTAGGGATAGATATATTAGCGTAGTTATAGTGATAATTTGGTAGTGATAGAGATAATATTGGGATAGTGATAGGGATAATGGTAGGGTAGTGATAGGGATAATAGTAGGGTATTGATAGATATAATAATGGTGTAGTTATACAGATAATAAAATAGGGATAGAGATAAAAGGGTAGTGAAAGTGATAATATGTTAGCGATAGATAGTTTATTATTTAATTATAGTGTTAGACGTTAGAGATTTAAGGATAGTGTTAGAGATTTAAGGATAGTGCTATAGAAAATAGGGTAGTGATAGAGATACTATTGGGGTAGTGTTTTTGCTCACATGTTCTGAATTTTCAGATGAGTGCACATGCGCCGAAGCGTTGTAAGCACTCAGCTGGTTGCAACTTAAATTTACTAATCTTTACTTTTTGAGCCCAGAGTTTTAAAATTTATAACTTCGGTAGATCCTACTAAAACAATTTAGATTTTTTTAAAGTTACTTAGTATTTCTTTAATTAAATCCCAAGCACGTTTAAAAAAAAAGAAAAGTGTAATTCACAATGCTTAACAATATTGTATTAAAACCAGTTTAGATTGTGGTTAAAGAAAAAATAATTAAATATAAAAATAGAATTTAATCAAATTTATTTCTGCAAGTTATTTTTCAATTTTCATTGAACCATATTTTGTTTAAAGTGTATCTACGTATGTTCAGTTTCCATCTGATAGAGAAATACATCTATAGGCCCTCTGGTACTGATTATAAAAACAAGCATATAAAAAGTGATAATTATATAGGTTTTAAATGGGACATAATTAACATAAAGGAACGAATCAAGGGCCGATTGTAAAATATAGCGACTCAGCATTCAGTATGGTTATTATGTTATTATTCAGTATAGGTGTAAATTTTCGAAGAAATTGGGCGCTTCAGCAGACACATATTTAGCCCTGTTCATTCAAATCATACACGCTGTTTCTAAAGCAAACCGTTAGGACTTTTTAAAAAACGTAAATAAAAAGCATTGTAACAAAACATTCCTCTTCACTCAAGGTGTGCATGGAGTTATTCTTCCTTTACTTTAATTTTAAACTTTTTAAAATTTGAAAATTCTGAGAACTAGAAAAATAAACGCTTCTCCAGTTAGGAGTCATCAATAAATAACATCACGCTTTTTTGACGATTTTTAATATTTCCCTCACTACTTAAAAATAGTGTTTTAGTGTTCAGTTAGGGATGTGTTTCTATTTAAACTTAAACCAGTTTAAATAAGACAGAGGTAGAAGAACAGAGAGGCAGTTTAGAGAATTACCGTATACTTGGGGCTGGGGGCGCTGCTTCAGGTTTGATGCCTTGGTCCTGAGCTGCCGCAACAGGAGGTGGCGCCCCACCTGATAGCGCCCCACTCGATGCCGCCCCACCCGATGGCGCCGCCTGGGAATGAGCACCCCCATGAGGGGCACTGTATAGAGAAGCAAAAAATGTTGCAAATATGATACAAGAGTTGGAATTTGTTTTCATGCAACATCTTTTACAATTTTGCTGAATTTTGAATGCCTAACGTATACCACAGCAGTAGTTTTGAAAAGTAGAAGAAACAAAGTGGAATATGTTATGCTGAATTCTTATCTTCGATTCATTTCTTCGATTATTATAGAGTGGTGGATATGCTTAATAAAAGTAGTCCATCTAAACATCTTAGACGGCTATGTAGATATTTTTAATTAAAGCTTAGGACGCATTAAAAAAATTAGGTGATTCCTGTATTTCTTTTATAGAATTAACAAAGCACAGCTTTAAAGGGCAATATTTTTTTTGGGGGGGGGGGGGGGGGGCAGATGTGGGTGAGGTTGTTTTTGTGGCTGTTCACAACAGGTAACCATAAGCCTCTATGGGACAAATGCATAGTGAGACCATTAAGCTTGTATGGGACATATGATTAGTGAGACCCTTATTCCTCTAAAGAAAAGACAACATGAGACCTACAAGTCTCCTAAGGACAAAAGCATAGTGGTCCACACACGTTATCTACTGAACAATAGCAAACAGTAACATCAAGGTGGATACAGGGATAGACGGGGTACATATCACACTTTACATTGGTGGTTTCAATTAAAGCACAGAGTATATATCACACTTTACATTGGTGGTTTCAATACAAGCACAGAGTACATATCACACTTTACATTAGTGGTTTCAATAAAAGCACAGGGTACATATCACACTTTACATTGGTGGTTTTAATAAAAACACAGGGTACATATCACACTTTACATTGGTGGTTTCAATACAAGCACAAGGTACATATCACACTTTACATTGGTGGTTTCAATAAAAGCATAGACAGGGTACATATCACACTTTACATTGGTGGTTTCAATACAAGCACAAGGTACATATCACACTTTACATTGGTGGTTTCAATAAAAGCACAGGGTACATATCACACTTTACATTGGTGGTTTCAATAAAAGCATAGACAGGGTACATATCACACTTTACATTGGTGGTTTCAATAAAAGCATAGACAGGGTACATATCACACTTTACATTGGTGGTTTCAATAAAAGCACAGGGTACATATCACACTTTACATTGGTGGTTTCAATAAAAACATAGACAGGGTACATATCACACTTTACATTGGTGGTTTCAATAAAAGCACAGGGTACATATCACACTTTACATTGGTGGTTTCAATAAAAGCATAGACAGGGTACATATCACACTTTACATTGGTGGTTTCAATAAAAGCATAGACAGGGTACTTAGCACACTTTACATTGGTGGTTTCAATAAAAGCATAGACAGGGTACATATCACACTTTACATTGGTGGTTTCAATAAAATCACAGGGTACATATCACACTTTACATTGGTGGTTTCAATAAAAGCATAGACAGGGTTCTTAGCACACTTTACATTGGTGGTTTCAATAAAAGCATAGACAGGGTACATATCACACTTTACATTGGTGGTTTCAATAAAAGCATAGACAGAGTACATATCACAATTTACATTGGTGGTTTCAATAAAAGCATAGACAGGGTACATATCACACTTTACATTGGTGGTTTCAATAAAAGCACAGGGTACATATCACACTTTACATTGGTGGTTTCAATAAAAGCATAGACAGGGTACATATCACACTTTACATTGGTGGTTTCAATAAAAGCACAGGGTACATATCACACTTTACATTGGTGGTTTCAATAAAAGCATAGACAGGGTACATATCACACTTTACATTGGTGGTTTCAATAAAAGCATAGACAGGGTACATATCACACTTTACATTGGTGGTTTCAATAAAAGCACAGAGTACATATCACACTTTACATTGGTGGTTTCAATAAAAGCACAGGGTACATATCACACTTTACATTGGTGGTTTTAATAAAAGCACAGGGTACATATCACACTTTACATTGGTGGTTTCAATAAAAGCATAGACAGGGTACATATCACACTTTACATTGGTGGTTTCAATAAAAGCACAGGGTACATATCACACTTTACATTGGTGGTTTCAATAAAAGCACAGAGTACATATCACACTTTACATTAGTGGTTTCAATAAAAGCACAGGGTACATATCACACTTTACATTGGTGGTTTCAATAAAAGCACAGGGTACATATCACACTTTACATTGGTGGTTTCAATAAAAGCACAGGGTACATATCACACTTTACATTGGTGGTTTCAAAAAAAGCACAGGGTACATATCACACTTTACATTGGTGGTTTCAATAAAAGCATAGACAGGGTACATATCACACTTTACATTGGTGGTTTCAATAAAAGCACAGGGTACATATCACACTTTACATTGGTGGTTTCAATAAAAGCATAGACAGGGTACATATCACACTTTACATTGGTGGTTTCAATAAAAGCACAGGGTACATATCACACTTTACATTGGTGGTTTCAATAAAAGCACAAGGTACATACCACACTTTACATTGGTGGTTTCAATAAAAGCACAGGGTACATATCACACTTTACATTGGTGGTTCCAATAAAAGCACAGAGTACATATCACACTTTACATTGGTGGTTTCAATAAAAGCACAGAGTACATATCACACTTCACTTTGGTGGTTTTAATAAAAACACAGGGTACATATCACACTTTACATTGGTCGTTTCAAAAAAAGCACAGGGTACATATCACACTTTACATTGGTGGTTTCAATAAAAGCACAGAGTACATATCACACTTTACATTGGTGGTTTCAATAAAAACACAGAGTACATATCACACTTTACATTGGTGGTTTCAATAAAAGCATAGACAGGGTACATATCACACTTTACATTGGTGGTTTCAATAAAATCACAGGGTACATATCACACTTTACATTGGTGGTTTCAATAAAAGCATAGACAGGGTACATATCACACTTTACATTGGTGGTTTCAATAAAAGCACAGAGTACATATCACACTTTACATTGGTGGTTTCAATAAAAGCATAGACAGGGTACATATCACACTTTACATTGGTGGTTTCAATAAAAGCACAGAGTACATATCACACTTTACATTGGTGGTTTCAATAAAAACACAGAGTACATATCACACTTTACATTGGTGGTTTCAATAAAAGCATAGACAGGGTACATATCACACTTTACATTGGTGGTTTCAATAAAATCACAGGGTACATATCACACTTTACATTGGTGGTTTCAATAAAAGCATAGACAGGGTACATATCACACTTTACATTGGTGGTTTCAATAAAAGCATAGACAGGGTACATATCACACTTTACATTGGTGGTTTCAATAAAATCACAGGGTACATATCACACTTTACATTGGTGGTTTCAATAAAAGCATAGACAGAGTACATATCACACTTTACATTGGTGGTTTCAATAAAAGCATAGACAGGGTACATATCACACTTTACATTGGTGGTTTCAATAAAATCACAGGGTACATATCACACTTTACATTGGTGGTTTCGGCCTATACTCGTCAATGTACTCGTTTCTTGCTTTCACTAAACCATAGGTGGCCAGCAGAGAGAAAAACACCGTCCATCCCATGGCACACCACCAGCCGCCCTGGAGAAAATAACATTTCAAGTCACGTCTAAGCCAGTCATACAACAAACCGAAAGTAAAGTGCTCTTTCTTCTTCTTCGCTCTTAATTTTAGAGTTGGGAGTAACTCCAACACAATTAACGATACGTGTCAACTGGTTATACGCCATTGAGGCCGTTGACTCCGATTTCAGCCTGCTTTACTTTTTCGATTTGCTTCTATAGCGTTTGTCCAACCAAGAACAAACTACAAGGCAGCGGTTGTTTGATTTTGGAGTTGTCTCTCCTAGAGGAGTGGCTGTCCCCAGCTAACGAGCCACATCTGCCCGAGGGTTTGAACTCGAGACTTTTCGGTTTAGCAATCGTGAGCTTTACAGACTCGACCACGCCAATTCCAAAAGTAAAGTGCAATTCCTGCTTTAGTAGTTCTTTTTTTTTAAAGAATTATATTATTTCAGACATAATGGTTCTTATGGCAGTTAAAGTAGAGTTCGCGTATGTCTTAGACATGTGGAAGGATTGTGCTCAGCTCTACACCCAGCAGAGGCGTAGCCACCTATATCTTCACTCGGGGTGAACGATCAATTTTTGCTCCAACCCCATTCCATTTTTAAATAAAATACTTAAAAAAAACTTTTTAAAAAACCACGTTTTTCTTGTGGACTAAAAGGTAGAAAATAAAATTTTCTTTTGTGCTTCCTCGAGCTGTGCAGGTTCTTGTGATGACTGACAAAAAACGTGGGTACGTTCACCATCAAATTTCCCGACCCATCTGCCCGACCCACGTTTTTTGTCAGTCATCACAAGAACCTGCACAGCTCGAGGAAGCACAAAAGAAAATTTTATTTTCTACCTTTTAGTCCACAAGAAAAACGTGGTTTTTTAAAAAGTTTTTTTTAAGTATTTTATTTTCTCCTTTTTAGTCCGTTGCTACACATGAAAAACGTGGTTTTTAAAAAAGTGTTTATAAATACACGGACTAAAAACTTGAGCGACCAGGATTCGAACCTGGGTTGTCGCGGCCACAACGCGAAGTACTAACCACTATACGATCACGGCCAGCGCGCTCACATCGATTGGGGGCCGAAGTAACTGGGTCAATAGGCCTCCAGTCTTGTCGGTATCTTTAGAAATCATGTCCTCAATTTTATGGTCCTTGGGGCGTAATTAAATTAAGCTAATTACGGTCACTAATTGCTAGTTTTTATGATTGCATCTGAAATTGTTAGGCGAAAGTAGCATGCATGCCAAATTTCAGGTCTATAGAGCAATCAGAAGTGGGCTAATTTTCGATGTCAATTTTAACAACAAACATCCAAACAAACAAACAAACGCGAAGCTGAGTTAAGAAAAACGTGTTAAAATAGTAGTTCACGTTGGCGAAAAAGTACCCCCGCCCTCCCTCATGTGGGAAATATTGATTGCGCTTTTCACCAGTTACTGTGTTCCTCGATAACATGATGTAGTAAACAGCTGGAAAGTCAAGTAGCCGTTTATTTTCTTAACTTTGATCGTGTATGATATTTCAGTAATGCAGCTCAAAATATGCAATTTGTTATATTTTTTTTAGCCAGTTTGGCGTCCAGATTCGCTCTCCTTTAGCTACGCATCTGACACCTAACCGCCTTTGTCTTTACCACTCCGTACCATATAACCCTTTAAGCTGATATTCCTTAGTGGAATTATTCTCATATATTTATTGGTGTATTCTTTAAAAAAAAGATTCCGGTATTTAATAGATTTTTTTTTTACCAGCGCTCTCAGGAATTGACAGAATCCTTGCGTGATTTCGGTGAACAGGTTTGAAATAGGCTTGCATATACCAATCTGGTTTTCTACCTAAAAACACAAGGAGGAATGTTTCCAATTTATGTTCTAAACAAACTGATTTCGAAGCAATTCATCTAACAAAAAAATTACTATAAAACTACGTTGTTTTTTTTAGGGAAAATGTATTTGCATAAAACTAGTTAAATTTTAAAAATTATTTGAAATGAAAGCAAACTTTTATCAAAGAGGAATTATTTTTAGTCTGTTTATCTCAAAGATATGTAGGTAAATTTTAAATTTAATTTAGTTTAATTCCTTTGTTATTTTATCTAATTGATCAGTTCTTGGTAGTTTTACCAGTGTGTTGGCAACATCAAGAATACGTTGAATGTTCGCAACTGAACAGTTTAAACTAGGCCAGTGGTTCTTAACCTTTTTTTGCAGGTACCGAACCCCACCAGTTTCACATGCGCATTCACTGAACTCTTCTTTATAGTTCTAACGTCTGCACTGACTAAATCCGATCGTGAATCATATGAGTCGGGTGTTGGTCTTGACCTCCGCCGTACCCCTGACTCACCAAACCTCTGGGGGTTCGGTCGAACCCAGGCTAGGAACCACTGGACTAGAACCTTCTATTTCAAACTATTTCATATCAAACATTTTAGAAAAATACATATTTGCGATAAAACGTTTCAAAAGTAAATGAAATGTTAAAGTTGAATTCATTAAAACTGTCAACAGCAGAGACAAAAACTTTCTTTCAGCACGCACAAAAGGTTTTATAGATCTGGGTTATGATTAGTTCTTGTTTAAATGTTCAATGATAACAGCGTAGAATTAGAGACTTACTTCATCCCAAAATTTTTTATGGATCTGGGTTATGATTAGTTTTTTTTGTTTAAATGTTCAATGATAACAAGGTAGAATGTGTGACTTACTTCATCCCTGACATGAGCTACATAGGTATCCAGGATACGAGTAAGTCGAGATTTGAACTCGTCTACAATCTGTAGAAATATTTAAATTACTTAAAAACAAAAGGCACATCTGATTCTTTTTTTTTAAACTATGAGGCGTAGCGAGGGGGGGAGAGACGGGGGGTGCGGACCGATCGAGTGACACCATTTAAGGGGGTGACACCAAGGCAAAAAAAGAGCAAAATATATAGAGAAAAATTTGAGGGGTGCAAATCGAATGTTTGAGGGGGGGGGGGGGGGTGTGCAAATCGAAAATTTGAAAGTTGGGGGGGGGGGGGGGTGACACCATGAAGTGCCGCACCGGGTGACACCCGACCTCGCTACGCCACTGACTCTTAGCATACCTTAGTAAAAAAAATTAGCGTTTTTAAGTTATAATATGAAACAATATAAAATAACTTTAAAAAATTATAGTTTATAAACTATGATATGAAACAAAAATAAAATAACTCAGTAACGATTTAAGTTATTTAAACTATAACTTGAAAGAACATAAAAATACCTTAATAAAGATTTGAATGATTGCAATAAAGATTTTAGTGTTTAAAACTATAGCTTGAAAGAAAAATAAAATACCCGAATAAAGATTTTAGTGCTTTCAAAACAGATTTAGTGATTAAACTGTTCCACCAAACAAAATAAAATACCTCGAGAAAGATGGCCGGTGCCTTAGTTTTCACGACGTTCTGCGCGTTTCTGAGCGCCGTAGTCACTGCCTCAGTGCGCATCTTCAGCTGCAAAAGATAGAAAAACCTCACATACTTCTTTCAATCATTTTGACGTCCGCTTACAACAGTGAACAAATCTGATCATCGTTTTAAAATTTGTTTTAACGCTTTTATAACGCTTTTACTCATTTACATACCCATGCTATTACTTTATGTAACATTCATTAGTCCGATTCCCAATTTATTGTATAAAATTTACACGACCCCTTCCCCACCCTCAACTCCGTGATTTATAGCATTAATAAATTGAAACTAATACATTGAGTCCACCCAACTCTGATGGGTACCTAACTCACGTTAGGGAGAGTAAAGGTGGCTGGGCATAGTGCTGACCACACTATCTCTTCATATGCCGAGGTCACAGAAACAAGTGAACTCTACTTCACATGCCCTATAGACTGTCAGGTTTGAAAGGGAAACTTTACTTTTACTTTATTTCCCCACCCTCATCCCCAAATAATAGTTTGTACAAACTCCGCGATTTATAACATTAATAAATTGAAACTAATACATTGGCCAGCACTATCCTCAGTTGCCTTTGTTTCCCTAACATGAGTCAGGTACCCAATAGAGCTGGGTGCGCTCAGGGACGTCCTACAGCTCAAACTCTCGAGACTTTCGGGTTAGCAGACGTAAGCTGTACCACCCGACCACGCCACACAGAGCTGCATGGACTCAGGAACGTCCTACACTCGATCTCGGGATCCGAACTCGAGACTTTCGGTTTAGCAGACTTAAGCTGTACCACCCGACCACGCCCCACTGAGCTGCATGGACTCAGGAACGTCCTACAGACTCGATCTCGGGATCCGAACGCTAGACTTTCGGGTTAACAGACGTAAACTGTATCCTCCGACCACGCCGTCATATAGTATGATATACAGTGGAACCTAATCACGGCTGATCATTTTGACCTGAGCATCGGACTAATTAGGGGAGATTAATTAATTAGTTGAGATGTATAACACCAACTGACCGTGGAGGATGGTGGTTCGAGTATTTGTTTCTTTAGCTTGTCAGAAGTTCCTTTCAATTTCAACTGAAACACAAATTATGTTAATTAAATTACTCTGCTTGCATGTGTAATGTAGATAAGTCTCACTTGCAAATACGTACGTGTGTGTTATACGTGTGTGCTTATTTTTTTATATCTCAAGTGTGTATATACTTATGGGCGTGTTAAAAGTGGCATGTATCTATATTACTCTTGCATGTTCCTGTTCACTTATGCATGTATAGGTATGTCATGTATGCATACACTTTTGTGCTGTTATTTGTTCCTAGGCCATACATCAATGTTGCACTCACCATTGCCTGCTTGCAATCAATATTGCACTCACCATTGCCTGCTTGCAATCAATATTGCACTCACCATTACCTGATTGCAATTAATATTGCACTCACCATTGCCTGCTTGCAATCAATATTGCACTCACCATTGCCTGCTTGCAATCAATGTTGCACTCACCATTACCTGATTGCAATTAATATTGCACTCACCATTGCCTGCTTGCAATCAATATTGCACTCACCATTGCCTGCTTGCAATCAATAAGGCACTCATCATTGCCTGCTTGCACTTACCATTGCCTGCTTGCATGCCGTTCCTAAGACTTCTCGGGTCGTCTTTAACTCGGTTGCTATGCTCTGCAGTTCCTCCTAAAGTACGCCGCAGAAAGAAAATTCTAGAATTATGGTTATGCGCTTCAGATGAATAAAATTCATTTCAACATTTTTCATCACGTTAACGTTTGAAACCACGACAAGAGGCAAGTTTGCGAAAGTTATTATAGGATTTATCGATGCTAAAACTTTTTATAGCCTTTCCGATTGTATTATTTTCGTTTCAAATTGTTCGGTTGGGCGGAATTTCTTCTACATAATTTTAAGTATTTCTTATATAAACCGTTGACTCCTTCTTCTTCTTCTTCTTCGTTCTTAATTATTAGTGTTGAAGGGGATCGAGATTTATCTGCCAGTGGGTTTGAACTCGAGACTTTGTTCGAATTTATCAACCATGAGCTTTTTGCCGACTCGACCACGCCTCCAACACAATCAATTAATTACGTGTCAACTGGTTATGCGCCATTGAGGCCATTGACTCCCATTTCAGCCTGCTTTTCTTTTTGGATTTGCTTCCATAGCCTTTGTCCAACCAAGAACAAACTACAAGGCAGCAGTTGTTTAATTTTGGAGTTGTCTCTCCTAGAAGAGTGGCTGTCCCCAGCTAATGAGCCTCATCTGCCCGAGGGTTCGAACTCGAGACTTTTCGGTTTAGCAACCATGAGCTTTACCGACTCGACCACGCCGATTACCTCCGTTGACTCCGATTTCAGCCTGATTTTCTTTCTGGATTCACTTCCGTAGCCTTTGTTGACAAGAACACACTACAAAGCAGCAGTTGTTTCATTTTAGAGTTTTCGCTCCTAGATGGGTTACTGTACCCAGCTATCGAGACTCATCTTCCCGGGGGTTCGAACTCAAGACTTTTCGGATTCGCAACCTTGAACTTTACCGACCCCAGAGCTGTACAGACCCCACCCCTTTAATTTCTGTTAAACTTTGAGTAGTGTTTGTTATTTAAAATTAAGGATAACAATATAATGTGAGATTTTCCTACGGCCTAGGGATACAGTTATCATTTATGTTTCTGGTATGATTTAATGATGAAGTTATCTTTTTTTTTGGTATTATGATTTAATAAATTTGATAAATGTTACAGCAAAACTCTGAACTTACTTTAGCTGGAGTTACTGCTGCTGCGATAAGTGGAGTCAAACTGTTTTCACTGTTTTCAACTGGTGTTAAAATATCAATATCAGCCTAACAAAAAAAATAATTTACAAGCCTCAAAAATGCTTACAATTGTTATTTATAGAGAAACACATCGCAATACAATATATTACAATACAATACAGTATGGATCTACACAAGTAATTAGCTATTGTGATTATACCAAATTACTTACTAAGCACAATAGGGCTGGTAAGTAGGTCTCCAAACAGTTCTATGGCTCATGCAGGTTTTATTCAGCCGTAGAACTGGTTGGTGACCTACTTACCAGCCCGATTTCTACAGATTGTCGTTATTTGTTATACTTGTTAAAACGTGTTCAACTGTTACAAACGTGTAACTGTTACAAAGTTAGTAAATGTACGCTGTTAAATGAGATATTCACAGTTTATATTGTGATTAAATATTATATCAGTCTTATTGGTACGTGTAAAGAAGGTGTTGTTACGGGTCAGTTGTGATTAGATAGAAATAGGCTAGAATAATCTAGAACTTAAGGGAGAGAGTGCGTGTATGAGTTGAGTTTACCCTAGTGTGTAGTTAACCCCGATGTGTTTATGTATTGTTATCCCAAGGTCGAATGCGGGTATAAAAACTGGAGTGAATGATTGTAAGGGGGACGGTTGGTAGCTGCTAGGTACGAGGGCGTGTTGTGTAAAGATAAAAAGGACAAGCAAAATAAAGGTTTAATATTGCCTACAAACGTGTTTGTTGGATCGATCGTAACAGGTGTGTGTGGCGGGGGTCATTTACCCCCTCCCCTGTCATTTACCCCCCTGTCAATGACCCACCTGGAGAATTACCCCCTTCCCAATCTCAAGAATCTTGACCCCCCCCCCCCCCCAACTCTAACTCTAGATCTATATCTTACCTTAATTCTAACCTGAAGAAAAAGCCTAAACCTAAGCATTCGCCTCAGCCTAAAATTAAACCCAAAACCCAACTTCAACTCTACACATTAGTTTAAGCCTAATCCTAATCCTGACCCTAAAACTAACTCTAGCCCTTACCCTAGTTATGACAGGGGGGTAATATCCTACTTGGCGGGGGGGGGGGGGTAATTGACAGGGGGGGTAGTTTACAGGGGAGTAAATAAGGGTGTAATTACTCCGGGGGGTAATGTCGCTGAAGAAATGTCCGGGGGTTAATTGACGGGGAGGGGGGGGGGGTAATGCCCTGTTCCCGTGTGGAGGGTAGCATAAATTCCTTGAATCCTATGTTGTTTGGTTACAAAAGAACAGCTCACCAGTCTGTCGTACGTGGTGAAGACTATGTTGTCCTGTAGCTTAAACATAAAGTCCAGGAACTGCTTCAGGGAAGCCGATTGTACGGTGACTTTATCGAAGTCAACTTTTAGATCCTTTGTGACAGTGTCGACGTCGAAAAACTGTGATATTTAGACAAGTATCAGATTAGATGTAACAGGGGTACTTTAAACAGGAAATAGAGGTGTTGTAAGGGATATGGGCTACTATACACGTGTGTGTAGGGTCATGGGATCAAGGCTACTATACTCGTGTGTGTAAGTTCATGGGATCAAGGCTACTATACACGTGTGTGTAAGGTCATGGGATCAAGGCTACTATACGCGTGTGTGTAAGGTCATGGGATCAAGGCTACTATACGCGTGTGTGTAAGGTCATGGAATCAAGGCTACTATACACGTGTGTGTAAGGTCATGGGATCAAGGCTACTATACACGTGTGTGTAAGGTCATGGGATCAAGGCTACTATACACGTGTGTGTAAGGTCATGGGATCAAAGGGATTATACTCGTGTGTGTAGGGTCATGGGATCAAGGCTACTATACACGTGTGTGTAAGGTCATGGGATCAAGGCTACTATACGCGTGTGTGTAAGGTCATGGGATCAAGGCTACTATACGCGTGTGTGTAAGGTCATGGAATCAAGGCTACTATACACGTGTGTGTAAGGTCAAGGGATCAAGGCTACTATACGCGTGTGTGTAAGGTCTTGGGATCAAAGGGATTATTCACGTGTGTGTAAGGTCATGGGATCAAGGCTACTATACACGTGTGTAAGGTCATGGGATCAAGGCTACTATACACGTGTGTGTAAGGTCATGGGATCAAGGCTACTATACACGTGTGTGTAAGGTCATGGGATCAAGGCTACTATACACGTGTGTGTAAGGTCATGAGATCAAGGCTACTATATACGTGTGTGTAAGGTCATGAGATCAAGGCTACTATATACGTGTGTGTAAGGTCATGGGATCAAAGCGACTATACTCGTGTGTGTAAGGTCATGGGATCAAGGCTACTATATACGTGTGTGTAAGGTCATGGGATCAAAGGGATTATACACGTGTGTGTAAGGTCATGGGATCAAGGCTACTATACACGTGTGTGTAAGGTCATGGGATCAAGGCTACTATACACGTGTGTGTAAGGTCATTCATGGGATCAAGGCTACTATACACGTGTGTGTAAGGTCATGGGATCAAGGCTACTATACACGTGTGTGTAAGGTCATGGGATCAAGGCTACTATACACGTGTGTGTAAGGTCATGGGATCAAGGCTACTATACACATGTGTGTAAGGTCATGGGTCAAGGCTACTATACACGTGTGTGTAAGGTCATGGGTCAAGGCTACTATACACGTGTGTGTAAGGTCATGGATCAAGGCTACTATACACGTGTGTGTAAGGTCATGGGATCAAGGCTACTATACACGTGTGTGTAAGGTCATGGGATCAAGGCTACTATACACGTGTGTGTAAGGTCATCGGATCAAGGCTACTATACACGTGTGTGTAAGGTCATGGGGTATAGGCTACTATACTCGTGTGTGTAAGGTTTTGGGATCAAAGCTACTATACACGTGTGTGTAAGGTCATGGGATCAAGGCTACTATACACGTGTGTGTAAGGTCATGGGATCAAGCCTACTAAACAACTGTGTAAGGTCATGGGACCAAAGCTACTTCACATGTGGATAAGGTCACGGTATCAAAGCTGAGTGTGAGATGAAGGCTGAAGTCGGTGCAGAAGTCTATAAATAAAAGGCTTAGCGTCGTATATCTTAACTTACAATAATCATTTCTCGTAACACACTAGTCACGATACCTTTTTATAATTAGTATGCTCTGTGATATTAATTATACCGCCCTTATCCAATTGGAAAACATGATATGCTGTTCTCCCTTGTTCACATCCTCTAGAAAAAAAAAAAAAGTTTTGTATTTTTATTATTTGTTCTCTTAAAATAATTTATGTTTTTATTTCGAACGTTTATATTTTTTTAACAAGTTTTAATAGTTCGTGTGTAAAAATGAAAATACACGTTTTACAGACATAAAAATGGGACCGGTAGACTTCACCTGTTTTCTGACGAGGTCACGTGATGGGATACAGTGGTCAGCACTATGTCCAGCCACTTTCTCCCACGTGAGTCAGGTACCCATCAAAGCAGGTCGGCCTACGTACTCAGACCTGGGATCCGAACTAAAGCTTTCAGGTTTGCAGGCGTATGCTGTACCATACGACAACGCCATCGATTAGCCTTAATGCATGTTTTGTGAAATACAAACTTAGCCGAAGATCCGAACTTTCGGATTAGCAGCCGTACACTCTACCATCCGACCACTCCGTCCCGCCAATATAATAAAACTTATTTACACGTTAAATATCTTTTTTGTGATGGACTTCGTTTACTCACTGCATGGCACTATGTAGGGTCAATGAAACCTTTTTCCCGGGGTAGAGCAGTTCTCCTAGCCAGGTACTCCCAGCACTCGTCTTTAACACGGCATCCATTACCTGGTTGTAGTGGGGAGGTGTTGTCAAGTGAATATTTCACATTTCCTGTTCTCGTGTACTATAACTCCCCCCCCCCCCCCAGACACACACACAGAGTACTAAGCATGCATATAAGTTCGATATCGAGAAATGTGGTGTCTTAATGTGGTGATGATTGCATTCTCAGCTTGTCGTGTTTAGATTTTACTAGCCGTCCCGGCCAGGCCCTGCTCTGGCATCTCTGAAAAATGTATCTGTAAAGGACCATAACTTGTGTGTTTAGTAATCAGCATTTACCCGGCATTGCCCACCCTAACCACAACCAACCAAAACAAAAAAAAAAACGGAAACATAACACTAACATATATATATAACCCTAACCCTATATATATATATATATATATATATATATATATATATATATATATATATATATATATAATATGTATTGTATATAATATAATATGTATTGTATATAATATATATAATATGTATTGTATATAATATATATATATATATATATATATATATATATATATATATATATATATATATATATATATATATAGGCCTATATATATATATATATATATATATATAGGCCTATATATATATATATATATATATATATATATATATATATATAGGCCTATATATATATATATAGGCCTATATATATATATATATATATATATATATATATATATATATATATATATATATATATATATATATATGGTAGCGGGGGAGTAACATAGTGTCTGTGGTTGGTGTACTAGACAACGAAGAGAAAAACTCCAACAACAACTGGCTTGCCTGGTCGACACCGCGTAGATCACTCAACGTCACGCAGGTAATTTTTTGTAGGGGGACGCCCAACGCGTAAAGACTGTTAGTTTCGAGCATCAGTATCCAGTTGAGCACGAAAAAAAATGCTATGTATCTGATAGACAGGAAGATATACCACATGAAATCACCAGCATTTAAAACTGAGGCGATTGAACTGAAGTTGGTTATGTTTTAAAATACGGGGTAGGATTGATGACTGACTTGGTGACAATAGAGTTTGTAAGTCTCGTTCTCTCTCATTTAAATTCGAAGTCTCGTTAGCCAGGGAGAGATTTAAGTTTTTTGGAGCGATATTATTCGTTGTGAACATTTTCCCCATAATTAATTTTAAAAATGGGGTAATTTGTTTCTAGGCCTCGCTTCAAGATTTTAAAATACCAACAATTGTAAACATTTTAATAATGATAGAATCACATTAAATACCGATGGGTTTTTGGTTGTTAATCAAATTATATTAACGAGCCGACCCGCTGCTATCATACGCCGCTATTTAGTTGTTTTATTTTCTACTTTTTTTTTAGTAATTCATAATTTGTGAATTCGACAGTACCAATGCTGCCACTGAAAATATTTGCTTTAAAACACTAACCCCCCCCCCCAACCCCTACCCTACACCCCCCCCCCCCCCCCCCCCCCCGTGAAAGCAGCCTCCTATAGTTACCTCCTGTAAGTTTAAAATCGTTTCAAACTAAATTATCTGCCCCTAATAGCCGTCACCAAACCCCGTCTCTATGATTGTAAAATGTAAACAGCGTGACCACAGCTCACCAGAAAATGTGGGGGTGGGGTGGGGGTGGTAGTGGTAGTGGTAGTGATAGTGATAGAGAGGAAGAGAGGGGACTGTAAAGGCGCGCTTGCAGCTTGTTTTCTAACGGCTCCCAGAAGAGAATTATTCTGTTACCGAATGCCCGTAATTAACAATCAATCCACCTTTATGGAATGACCGCATTTAACTTTAAATCCACCTTTATTGAATGCCTGTAATTAACATTCAATCCGCCTTTGAGGAATGACCGAATTTAACGTTCAATCCGCCTTTATGGTCATTCCATGACCGAATTTAACGTTCAATCCTTTATGGATTGACCGAATTTAACGTTCAAATCCACCTTTATGGAATGACCGAATTTAACGTTCAATCCGCATTTATGGATTGACCGTATTTAACATTCAATGCGCCGTTATTGAGTCACCGTATATAACATTTAAGGCACGTTTACATTTTTTTTTTAAATGGGCTGTAAATGTAGCCCAAGTGGTACAAGGCTGGTGATTCATGCCATTCTGATGCTGGCTTGTTGTCAGTGGCGTAGCGAGGTCGGGTGTCACCCGTTGCGGCACTTAATGGTGTCACCCCCCTCAGAGGCGTAGCGTCTTCCCGGGGACAAACTTTCAATTTTCGATTTGCACCCCCTTCCTCCTCGAACTTTCGATTTGCCGCCCCCCCCCCCCCCCTCGAACTTTCTATTTTAACCCCCCCCCCCCCCCTCAAATTTTTCTCTATATATTTTACTATTTTTTGCCTTGATGTCACCCCCCTAAATGGGTGTCACCCGGTGCGGTCCGCACCCCCCCCCCCCCTCGCTACGCCTCTGCTTGTTGTATATATTGAAGCCGGTGATGGCAATAGACTGTGAAATAACGTATAGCCGGTACTTACACCCTGAACGCATACTTTCCCCAGTTTACTGTTGTAAGGTTTCAAGACCTCAATGAAACTGATTAGTAAACAGACGACAGCAATGATATATAGCAGAAACATAAATACGCCAAAGTTGTATCTGTAAAAGAAAATAAATAATTCTGATTAAAAATGTTGAAAATAATGTTGGGACAGATGGATTTTTTTATGTTTAAAAAAAAAATTGATAACAAATATACCACCTAACAATTAATTTTAAAACCATTTTTCAACGGGAATAAAAGAAGACAGAAAGGCCATTTTTCAAACGGGAATAAAAGAAGACAGAAAGGCCATTTTTCAACGGGAATAAAAGAAGACAGAAAGGCCATTTTTCAACGGGAATAAAAGAAGACAGAAAGGACATGTTTTCAACGTGTTCGGATCTCGGTATGACGTTACTGAGTCTACCCAGCTCTGAGGGGTACCTAACTTATATTTGGGAATGTAAAGGCGGTTGCGCACAGTGCTGACCACACCATCCCTTCGTAAGCCGAGGTCGAGAAACATGAACTCTACTTCATTTGCGCAACAGATATTAAGGTCAGAAAGGGAAATTTACTTTTTAACAGAATGAACTGAATATGAATTACCGTGCTACTTGATTGAATGAACTGAATATGAATTACTGTGTTACTTGATTGAGTGAACTAAATATGAGACAGTTTGTTGCTTGAAGGAACGAACACAGAATCAAACATTATTAATGCTTACCTGGTTACATCGCCTCCTAGAACCACCTGCATGAATTCTTTGACATCAGCCTTGGTACCGTTGATAGTATCTTTCCCTAAAATCTGCCCAAAAGGGTAGAAGGTGGTTTAAAATCAATCAATCTATCATGAACCTAGATGAGAAATCAATCAGTCTTAATAGATAGTGTGTCCACGCCATTGTTGATACTGATTTTTAGATACGCCACCCGCGGCGTAGCATACGCCGCTATTTAGTGGACGGGTGAAGACTTCATGAAAGACGCAGTTTTCCAAATGGGGTGGGTGGGTGGGTACGCACTGTTGCGCATACCTGGAGAGTGAGGGTTAGAGAGTCGGCGTGCGTGCGTGGTGTCCTGCATGGTTGGGCGACATAAAGAATTATATATATATATATATGTATATTGTATAATATATATATGTTATGTAGAATAGGTTTTTTTTATGTTTTATTTTCAACGTCTCAGTAATTTATAAATTGTGAAAACGATACTACAAATGCTGCGACCACAAACATTTTGTTTGTTTTAAAAAACTATCAGTAGCTTGTGGACGATTATCCTCCCCTCTCCCCCCCCCCCCCGCCCCGTTAAATCAGCCGTCCGTGACAACAGCTTACAGACGACAATGAAAAGATCAAGCAGAACTTGTTACCTCTTTTTAATTTCAAATTGTCTAAAACCTAAATTATCTGCCCCTAATAGCCGTCACTAATTCGACCCGACTCTACGAGTGTAAAACATTCGACATAGAGAATTATAAATATTTTTTTCTGGAGGAGCGGAGGGGGGGTGGGGGGGGGAGTCAGCAGACGACATACATCTTATCCTCGATGACGAACACTTACTTGTTTTTGAATGTCTTCCAGCCCTTTACTAATATCGCCAATGACTTTACTGTAGCTGTTCATTTTCTTGATGATATCTGTGGGTTTAGAGAGATCTCTATGAATACAACTACCAGCAAAGTTTTTTTTTTAGAACTACAGGTATAAAACAGAAGAAAGAAAAATGAAAGCTGAGAAATATTTTTATATGCGTCCCCCGTCCCCCGTCTTCTACCTAACTGGGTTTGTTCTGTGCTCACGCGAATTTTGGAATGTTTCCCTTTATACTTTCAGACCGACGAGGTTTAGCCAATAGGGCTGGTAAGTAGGTCACAAACCAGTTCGACGGCTCAATAAAACCTGCATGAGCCATAAAACTGGTTGGTGACCCACTTACCTGCCAGATTATAAACAATAAAGCGTACACATGTTAAAATCCATGTTAAATTCTGACGTTTCGTGCAAAAGAAGAAGTAGAGTTTATGTTTTATATGTTCACGACAGGCAACGAGAAACTGTAGTCAGCACTATGTTTAGCCCCCTTAAAATTTACCCGGGTTATATATAGAGAGTGCCTTCTCACTTATTTGCGGAGTTGTGGTTTTTTTTTCAGACATGTATATCATACATGTTGCAAGTGTAAACGCAGTATAACTTCACTGATGGGAGTAACAACAGTACTATAAAAGTAAACGATAATAAACATTTTTTGAAAGCTGATTAAAAAACAAACAAACCGACCTTTTCTACCGCTTTCTGTATCCTGCTGTATTTGCGTTGGAATGTTAGTTAAATGAACTCTGGACTAGAGAAAAAAACATATTTTTTTAAAATGTGGATTAATTAGGGATTTTTTTTTATAAAAATTTTAAAATTTTAAAAATTAAAAAATTAGTAGTTTATACGTTGGTGAAGGGCATGGCCTAGCGGTAGAGAACTAGACTGCTATCCCGAGAGTCCCTGAGTCCACCCAGCTCTGATGGGTACCTAACTCACGTTAAGGGAAAATATGCGGCTGGGCATATTACTGGCCACACTATCCCTTCATATGCCGAGGTCTCTGAAGCAGATGAACTCTACTTCGACTGCCCCATGTGTCCATGGGCATGAACGGAAAAAAAAAGATGATGATATGTTGGTGAGCTTTGGTTGATGAACCTTTCAGCGTCGAAGTTTTCAGGATAAACCGTGCACGATTTACCGGAGCGGTTAGTCAGTCATAGTTTATGACATATTGCTATCTCAGTTGTTTGGATATCACCGTGTACACTGTACCATCTTAGATGCAAGTTTGTCAGAGTTTACTGTACATCTATATCAAAACATTTTAACGGTGAAAAAAAATCGTGCTTCGTCGAACTATTTAATTTTTTTCCTCTAAATGTATCTGTTTGGTAAACAAAATGAGTTAATCTACTTTTCTGCTACAGTAG